AAGTTTCTTCATCAAATTTATTAATTTTACTAAAAAGATATTTAATTAACTTAAAAATCTTATAACTCTAAAAAATTTAACATGGTAAAGTATTTACAAACAAAAGGCACTAAAAAAAAGTTATAAAATAAATTGATTAATACAATAGTTTAAAGTAAACAAAATTATACACCAAACTAATTTTCAATATAGCACAAATTAATAATTTCAAAATAGACAACCAAAACTAAATTAATAAATTACAAGTAATTTTAACAAAGCGCTCTCATGTTTTAGCAAAAATTATGGAAGAGAGAACCACAGTTTAATATTTTTTGAATTAAAATAGAGTTTAATATGAATGGCTTTTGTAGGATATAAGCGAAGAGAAAGAAATCATAAAGAGAAGTAGACAAAGAACACAATAGAAAACAAGGAATTGATAAAAGAGAGAACGCGCATAACAGTGATTATTTTGGTTTTGGACATAGTCTACTAACAAGAATCACATTCTTCGTTGTCCCGTGAGAATTAGGAATGGCAGGCGGTGCGGTGCGGCGCGTGTTCTGTCTGAACCCACGCAATTTAAACCGCTCCGCCCCGCCCCGCCCCGCCCCGCATAGGAATTAAATCCGCATTCACCCGCCCCGCACTCTACTCGCGTTCACCCGCCTCGCCCCGCAACCGCAAATTCTTGAACCCGCCCCGCCAACGTTCAAACCCGCACCGCCCCATTGCCATCTCTAGTGAGAATACTCTTTCACGCATTCTCTGGGATAAAACTCTATGTGTTCTTTTATCTATCGAGAGGACAATGTTTCATGCATTGATCTCTAGGACAAAACTCATCAACCCCTTACTCAGCGCTGCACTAAATGTATCTGTAGTGTGAGCCTTCTTGTTTTGATCTCAGGAGGCTTTATCTGCATTGTGTCTTTCCTCTAGTTCACGAGCCAATCCATGATGACTCCCTAGGTAGTAGTCAGAAGGACTATCCTTTTTACTCTTGACAAATTTCTTGTGTCAACTGATGTGGTATTTTTAGAGAATACACCAATTTTTCTATGTGCATTGTATTTATAAAAGTGAAGGGAGGAAGATTGAGCAACAACCGTCTATCATGATTCACGTCTCATGAATCAGCTGTTTCGCCATATTTTCCATCAAGACAGATAGTTGTTAAAGTTTATTTTACAAGGAAAGAGAGCAATGATACATGTCTGTGCCAGTTCCTTCATCATTGTATCCTCTTTGACCTTTCGATTTCTCACTTCATTGTATATCCACATATTCAACAACAACAATAACAAATCCAGAAAAATCTCACATGTGGAATATGCGGAGGGTAGTGCGTATGCAATCCTTACTCCTATCTAGAGAAAGTAGAGTGGCTGTTTTTGGTAGACCCTCGGCATAGAAAAGATACAAAGGTAAAGAGGAAAAAAGGCTAAGAAAAGGTAAAAAGTGGGGAATAACAATAAGCATCAATACCAGCAAAGAAATCAAAAAACCAAAGCGCATGAAACAACAAATAGTAACAAAAATCTGAGAACAAAAAATACGATGCTTGCACAAAATAAAGCGCTAAAACTAGGCCCTCCAAGACCAACCTCTCGCACCTCTTCACTAGGGCATCAACGCCTATGCTCTTCACATGTCCGAACCATCTAAGTCTTACTTCCCGCATCTTATCCACTACCGGAGCCACTCTCACCTGGTCCCGAATAACTTCATTCCTAATCTTATCTAAACTGGTGTGCACACATCTATCTCAACATCCTCATCCCTGCCACCTTCATTTTTGGACATGAGAGTTCTTGATTGGCAAATACTCAGCCATACAACATAGTCGGTCTGACCACCGCTATGTAGAACTTACTTTTAAGTCTAGGTGGCACATTCTTATTATACAAAATACCGGAAGCGAGCCTCCATTTTATCCACCCTGCCTCGATGCGATGCATGGCATCCTCGGCATTCTCCCAATTCCTTTGTATAACTGGAACAAGGTACTAAAAACTATCTCTCCTATGGATGACTTGTGAATCAAGCCTTACATCCACGTCCGCCTCCTGATATGCATCACTGAACTTGCACTCAAAGTATTTTGTCTTGGTCCTGCTCAACTTGAAACCTTTCAACTATAGAGTTTGCCTACAAACCTATAACCTCACGTTAACACCACATCGCGTCTTATCAATCAGTACAATATCATTTACAGATAATATGCACCACAACACCTCCCCCTAATTGTGGCCCGCCAGCTTGTCCATTGCTAGTACAAATAAAAATGGGCTAAGAGCTGACCCCTGATGTAACCCCATCTTAACTGGAAAATGGTCTCATTCCCTCCTGCTGTCCTCACCGGGTCTTAGCTCTATCGTACATATCTTTAATTATTCTAATGTATGCAATATGTACACTTCTAGCCTCCAAAAATCTCCATAGCACCTCCCTATGGACTTTATCGTAAGCCTTTTCAAGATCGATGAACACCATATGTAAGCCCCTCTTCCTCTCCCTATATTTCTCCTTCAATCTTTTAACAAGGTGAATGGCTTTCGTACTTGAATGCCCCAGCATAAATTTGAACTGGTTCTCGAAGATAGATACACTTCTCCTCACCCTCCACTTCATCACTCTCTCCCAGACTTTTATTGTATGATTTAGTAGCTTGATACCCCGATAGTTGTTGCAGTTCTGTATATCACCCTTGTTTTTATACAAAGGGATCATCGTACTCCACCTCCATTCATTGGGCATCTTCTTTGTCCTAAAAATGGCATTAAACAACCCAGTAAGCCACTCTAAGCCCGCCCTGCCCGCGCTCTTCCAGAATTCCAACGGTATTTTGTCCGGCCCGGTTGCTCTACCCCTACGCATCTTACGCATAACCCCCTCAACCTACTCAACTTTAATACTCCTACAATATCCAAAATCTATACGACTCTCGGAATATCCCAATTCACCTAGGACAACGTTCCTTTCCCCCTCTTCATTCAAGAGTTTAAGGAAGAAGGTCTGCCATCTTCGTCGAATATGTGCCTCATCCAACAAACCTTTGCCATCCTCGTCTTTAGTATACTTCACTTAGTCTAGGTCACGTGTCTTCCTTTCTCTCACCTTAACTAGTTTGTACAACTTCTCTACTCTATCCACATATTCCATTGCTATTTTTATTTTTTATGACTATCTATCTCCTGCGTCTAATTCTTTGATTGACTCTCTAGACTCTATCTCTATAACCTAAAATAATGAAGGAGTCCTTGGACCATCCTGGATAGTATGATGCAATTCTTGAGAGATACATACTTTAGATGAAAATAACATTTGGGATTTGGTGGATTTATTCGAAGGAAAGGACGCATTGGGATGCAAGTGAATCTGCTCAATCAAAGTTAATCCGTAGGGCTCTATGGCAAAACCTAAGGCAAGACTTGTGGCTAAAGGATATTCTCAAACATTGGGTGGATTCTTCAAACACCTCTCCCCAATGGCCGAACTCACTTCTGTCTGCTTGTTCATTTCTCTAGCTGCTACTGCGCGTTGGCCTTTGTATCAGTCTATCAACAATGTTTTGCTTCATGGTGATCTCCATGAAGATGTGTATATGAAACAACTCTTAGTATTTTATATTCGAAAATATATTCAAAAAATATAAATAAAGTAAAACAAAAATGTAGAAGCAGTAGAATATTAATTCGAGCCCACTGAATTCACAATGTTTCCTTAAGGAACTTAATCTCCACCTAGTAACCGAGATTTAGGATTATTTCCTTCCAGGATAGAACAAATTACCCTCACTGGTGTAGCAGTACTTCAAACCACAATGACCAACGAACTCAAAGATTGATAACAAATCACACTTAATGTTGTTTTCTTTCTGTTAAAAATAATGCAGAAGGAAGAAGGAGAAATCATAATTTTCATAAGGAAAATCTGTGAGAAATATCATGTATTTATAGCCAAAAGTTGGGTAATACCGAAGAGTTGCAACTCTTCATTTTAAGGACACAACTCAAAGTGGTTGTTTTATAAAACGGCCATTTACGCAAACCACCAAAGGAATGGGAAAATCAATTCATCGTTACAAAAACGGTTGATTTGGATTGAAATAATATTACGTTAATCTTAGTTTGACCAAAGCCGAAGCCAAGCGACGGTGGCGGCGCGAGGCTTGCCTTCATCCCAACTCTTTAAGAGCTAGAAGAAGAGCAATTATATATATACCTATCAAAACTTTTTTCTACCTCCAATATGGGACAATGTCCCTTTGTGAAAGAGGGAAATTCAATTTTTTTTCTCCATTTCCCATTCACTCTATTTTAAGCTATTATAAGCTTAAACCCAACCGCCACCATCCAGTTTTGTTGCTGTGGGGAGTATGAGAAAGCGTATCATTTGAAGAGTCCTTGTATGACTTGAAGTAGCCCCCGGGCTTGGTTTGGCAAGTTTGGCTTGATCAGAGCATTTACCAACCTACTAAGAGCCTGTTTGGATTAGCTGGTTGTAAATAGCTGATAAGCTTGAAGTGCTGAAAAGTATTTTTAAGTGCTGAAACTGATTTTTTAAATAAACATTTACATGTTTGGATAGACGTGTTGAAACTGATAATAAGCAGTTGATGTGTTTGGTAGAAAAAAGCTGGTAAGTAATTCCTTTAATAAATGACTAAAATATCCTTAAAAACTTTACAAAAGATTATAAATTAAAAAGTTTTTTTGTAAAGAAAAAGATGAACAACGAATATGGAATGAAAAGAAAGTTAGAAAATTTATTTTGGGAAAAATATTTTGTGAACTAGAAAATATTATTAAGGATAAACTAGTAATGCTTTGGTCAAACTAAAAGTGCTTATAAGCTAAAAAGCCATAAGTTGGGGGTGACCAACTTATGACTTATGGCTGATTTTAGCTTATAAGCACTTTGGGTATTTACCAAATGCGTAGATAAGCCAAAAAGTGCTTATAAGCCAGTATGGCCAAACTTATAAACTTAGCCAAACACCCTCTAATTCAATATACCAGAAAGATGTTTTCTTGAATTTTATATATAGCTAGTTCTGTGTATATATTATACAGAGACTTAAAAATAAGTAGAACAGGTAATACTACATAATATCTTCAACTATAAAAAGCTTATCATTATCCCTTATGACTTCGATAGAGTCAATTTCTGCTCCTTGTTCATCTGTCACCAGGGCATCTTTTGCATCACATCCAAACTTCTGACCTGCAAATTAAAACAAATAAATCACCCAGACTATTAGATAACCATTGCTGAAACAATACGGACCCCTCTCAAGTTTTGCATGTTTGCAAACTAGTAGGAAAAGATAATCTTTAAATCATGACAAATATAATATTGGGAGTTATGGAAAAACTAAACTGGATAAGAATAAATAGATGAATTCTTTTGAAAAAGTACCTGCAGTGTTCTTGAGTTCTTCAAGTGAATTTGGAAGCCTAATTAACCTCCCAGGTTCACTGCAATGGCTTCTTCTTCTGACCTCAGGATGACCTCTGTATATGCTAACTCTAAAAGAACGTTGATCACAACTTTCAGAGCCATACTTCTGCTCTTGTTCACACCACTTACGATCAAATTCATCCGTTGCATCGGATACAATTATCCTATGTCCAACTTCTCGTTTTTGCAGCATTTCGCTTAGGTTCATTGATGAAAGCTTGTACTTCAATGTATCATCAATCTCAGCTCCGTTTATTAGAAGAAGCTTTACCATCTCTACGTGATTTTCTTCTGTTGCAACATGTATAGGAGTTGATCCATGGCGGTCTTTTGAGTCAACAAGTAATCCATGTTTTAGGAGTTCCTTCATAATTGTTAAATCATTTTTCCGAGCTGCTGTACATAAGAGGTCACCAGCAACATAGGGATCGGAAATGGAAGCCCAATGGTACAGGATTTCAAATATGGGATGGTGTTTTGCTGCTATAGCTTCCCATAACGCTGTGTTGCCATTTACATCTGCCATTTATCGGACAATCAAGAGATATTAGATACCGCTTGTCCTGTCAAAAATTCACTAAGTTTTACAGTGACCATTAATGGAGGATGTTCTACCTTGCAAGTGTATGTTACATCCATGTCTGAGAAGCACCATTACACATTCTTCGTGCCCTTTCGATGCTGCTATATGCTGATTCATTGCGCAGAGACATAAAATGTTGAAATACTTATTATAGCAACTAGTGCTAATTATAAGGCACAATGGAAGAGAAAAATCTATATAGGCAATACCTACTTGTCGGGAATACGTATTCGACTTGGTAGAAAACTTTCAATATTATTATTATTATCGCTATTACTTACTCCATCCGTTCCAGTTTATGTGAACCTATTTTTTTTGGTCCGTTCTAAAAAGAATGAACCCTTTCTAAATTTAGAAACAATTTAGCTTAAACTTCCAATTTCACCCTTAATGAGAAGCTTTTATAAGCACACAACTACTCTAGACTCCTTTTTGACTTGTTTAGGACCACAAATTCTAAAAGTCTTCATTTTTTCTTAAACTCCGTGTTTAGGTTCACATAAATTAGAACAGAGGGAGTATATATATCATTTTTTTACTTTCACTTGTACTTTATTTTGGTTATGATGATGATATGAGTTGAACTAATAGAAAGTAATGAGGATTCGTATCACCGACGCCTACTTGTTTCGGACTGATGCGTAGTTGTTGTAGCGACTAGTACATTGATAGTAGAAGCAGTATAAGACTAAAGTTGGTTTTTGGGATATACCAGTGGGGTTCTTCCTTTAGAGTCTCCAATATCATGGTCTAATCTTGCCTTGAGAAGCTCATCAAGAAAAGCAGCATTGCCTGTACTGGCAACAGTAAGCAAATTGATGGACATGTTCGGATCGCTATCTTCTTCCCCAACTTCAAGGAACAAGTCTACAAGTCTTAAATCCTTGAGCTTCTTGTGATGCTGCAATTAACACAGTATACGAAAAATATTAAGATTGAGCTCTGAAATGACACATTTGGAACCTCTTTTAAGTAGCTAAAGTTAGAACCTGAAGGAAATTCTTCATCATGGTGACATTATCTTCTTGCCTGCTCTTCATTGCTTCAATCAAACAAGTTGTTCTTATCTTCAAGAGTTGCGAAAGTGTCCTGGTTCGATACGTATAGCTCTGGGGCCTACAGCAAAATGCCCCAACTTCTCCCAACATGTCCCCAGATTTCAATGTCCAAACAATCTGCTCATTCTTCATCTCACTATCAATCATTTCCACCTCCCCTGACACTATGATGTAAACCTCATCTGGCGATTCATTCTGCATTATAACATCCTCCCTTGGGGGTATATATTCGGCCTTCATATCTGCAACCTAAGCAGTCACTAAGATTAGACACACAACAGATCAAACACAGATTTTGGAACGCGTCATTCTAGTAAAATTAATGTTGTCTTACCAAGTGTAAGAGAATTTCCCTCGAGACACCCTTGAAAAGATAGACCTTTTCAACAGTTGGCAGAAATAAATGTTGTCGGATACTCTTGCATATCGTCTTGGGAAGTTGTTCAATCAGTTGCTGCTGGTTTAAGCTCTCTGCCTTGAATCTTAAACACATGTAAGCCAGTATTTGCTCCTTCAGTCTTGGGGGCAAGCGATTTCGACAAACAAAGTTTGATGCTGATTGGATGCTATTTCTCTGTATGACAAATCAATTGAATGATGCCTGCACTATGCATTTATTTTGCTCTCCTGCTTATTATACCATAAAAAGTAATTGGAAAGGAGCTTACAAATTCCATGGTACGACGAGTTCCTTCAACGACTAAATTGGTCATGTTACCAATAATGTAAGCAGTGAGGCCAAGATTGAAGAGCATGTAGAAAATAATGAAGATCATTTCCACAGTATTGACAGCATGGAGATCACCATAGCCAACTGTGGTCATAGTGGTGATAGACCAATACATTGCAGAAATGTACCTAATCCAAAGGCTTGTTTCTCTGAAATTTGGATTCACAGATCCTAACCAAGTATTTCCTTGGTGGGGATTTCTGTCAGCTAACAAGTAGTAGAGACATCCAGCACAGTGCACTGAAAACAGTGTTACCTGTTTCATGCCATGGACTCATTCATATATCTTTCTTTTCTTTTTTTGGTAAGGAAATTTTTTCTATAACAATATTATTTTTCTGCAAACTTACAAACAGAAGCCTTGCACATCTGACCCAAAAATAGCTGAATCTCATGTCCTTTTCAAGTCTGCCAATGAACATAAAGAACAAGTGTAATTAATATCAAATAATTAGGTGACACAACTTTTTTGAAATATTGTTTGTTCATGAAATATAATCATGTTTTGAAAAAAAAATTTGATTTTTTTTAAGTTCCCAAAAGCTGCTCTAAAAATTTTGATTTTTTCTTCAACTCACAAAACATCAACTTTTCTTCAAATAAAATGCCGCTTGTCCAACCACAACTTCAACGTTCCAAACTTATTTTTCAATACAACTTAAAAAACTTTTTTTTTTCAAGTTTCAACCAGATCTATGTCCAAACGTTAGCTAAGTATTGTGCACCGACAATGTATAACACTTTTATACCATTCGGTTAAGTTACTTGCAATACCATGTACTCCATTTTATTATAACAAACGTGATATCTTAACATGAAAAATAAAGTAAACAACCTATTATAACATGTTAAGTTGTGTCGATGTATAGGGTAAAATATGCTATGCCAGCTGGCCGCTTAAAAGAATGACACGTGGAGCTTGAGGCAGAAGATAAGCAAAACCAAAGATAAATGTTCCATTTGTTACCGGAAGGAATGATGCTCATAAAGATGCAATAAATATCCTCCGTCCGGTGGCATTCAATAAAGAATATTTCACAATATTTAGTGCACTGCCCATTAAAAGAATTTGTCATTTATGCTCACCGTTACACCTTCATCAATAGCCTTCATAATTGACATTAAAGAAAGGCATGATCCTAGAACCTTGTTCCTTAGATGTAGCTATAAATAGTGAGCTCTCTGACCATTGTAGGGAGGACACTTTTCTGGCAAACTGACACGATAATCGATTAAGAGCTTTATACAATTTTTACTGTCTTGTTCTTTAGTTTCATCATTGTTGTGCTCGGCAGCCTTGCTCCCGGAATTACTGTTTCTACTATTTCATCCTCATTTCAAGGCTAAGTACTGCATATTATATTCTTTTAATTATTTTATCATATCAGGATCGAATTAATTCACTTGTCTAGAAATCACGTATAAATTCAACTGTACCGTTTTACGGGTAAACAGTTGATGGTGCATACATATATATATATATATATATATATATATATATATATATATATATATATATATATATATATATATATATATAAGTTGAAATCTTGAGAAAGAAAAAGGGAA